TTGCGATTTGATGATCTACGCACCCTGTATTTTTTATGAATTGGGTTTGGGTTGCTAACTCAACGGTAGAGTACTCGGCTTTTAAGCGCGACTCCATTTTTTACACATTTCTATGAAACAATTGGTTCATCCATACCACCGGTAGAGTTTGTAAGACCACGACTGATCCAGAAAGGAATGAATGGAAAAAACAGCATGTCGTATCAATGGTGAATTAAAAAAATTTTCATTCTTGTTGGATCTGGCCCATATCTTTTGTTTTTTTCTTTGATTTGAATTGTCCGCTCGGAGCAAAAAAATTCAGTTCAGTTGGGTTGAATGAATAAAGGGATAGAGTTTGGTGGCTCCAATTATAATTATAGGGAAACAAAAAGCAACGAGCTTTCATTTTGAATTTGAATGATTATCCCATCTAATTTGTACGTTAAAAATAGATTAGTGCTTTGTATGGGAAAGGCTTTTTCCCCGAATTAATTTTTGATTTTTTTTAAGAGTCCTTATTATTAGCTATTCTCCATTATGTTATGGGGTGGCGATAAATGTGTAGAAGAAAGAGTATATTGATAAAGTTAAGATTTTTTTTTCCAAAATCAAAAGAGCGATTGGTCTGAGATAAAAAGATAAATAAAAATAAAGGATTTAGAACTAGCTTGTTATCCTAAATTAGATGAAAAGGAAAAAAGCGAGGTGAGAGAATCCGTTGATGGGTTTTACTTGTTTTCTAAGTATTGTATCTATTTCGATTCGTTTTTTAGTCTAATCTATTAGATAGTAGAATACCCTGTTTTGACCGTATCGCACTATGTATCATTTGATAATCCACTGAATTCCAGATCCCTTGAACCAATCGAATTTCAAAAATGGAGGAATACCCAGTATATTTAGAATTTGATAGATCCCGTCAACAGGACTTCCTATACCCACTTATTTTTCGGGAGTATATTTATGGAATCGCTTACGGACATGATTTAAATAGATCCATTTTCCTAAAAAATGAAGGTTATGACAAGAAATCTAGTTTACTAATTGTAAAACGTTTAATTACTCGAATGTATCAACAGAATCCTTTGATTCTTTCTGCTAATGATTTTAACAAAAATAAATTTTTGGCGTATAACAAGTATTTAGATTCTCGAGTAATATCAGGGGGATTTACCGTCGTTGTGGAAATTTCATTTTCCCCACAATTAAGTTCTTTTTTAGAGGAAACACAAATAGTAAAATCGTATAATAATTTGCGATCAATTCATTCAATTTTTCCCCTTTTCGAGGATAAATTTACATATTTAAACTATGTGTCAGATATACGAATACCCTATCCTATCCATCTGGAAATATTGGTTCAAACTCTTCGATACTGGTTGAAAGATACCCCTTTCTTTCATTTATTAAGGTTGTTTCTTTATGAGTATTGTAATTGGAATAGTAGTCTTATTACTCCAGAAAAATTGATTTTTACTTTTTCAAAAAGTAATCCAAGATTTTTATTGTTTCTGTATAATTTTTATGTATGGGAATACGAATCTATCTTCCTTTTTCTACGTAATAAATCATCTCATTTACGATTAAAATCTTTTAGCGTTCTTTTTGAGCGAACCTATTTCTATGCAAAAATGGAACATCTTGTAGAAGTATTTTCTAAGGATTTTTCGCCTACCTTATCATTCTTCAAAGATCCTTTCATTCATTATGTTAGATATCAAGGAAAATCCATTCTAGCTACAAAGAATACACCTATTTTGATTAAAAAATGGAAATACTATTTTATCCATTTCTGGCAATGTCATTTTTATATTTGGTATCAACCGGAAACGATCCATATAAACCAATTAAACCAATTATCCAAGCATTCATTTTATTTTTTGGGCTATTTTTCAAATGTGCGACTAAATCCTTCTGCAGTAAGGAGTCAAATGCTGCAAAGGTCATTTCTAATTGAAAATGGTATGAAAAAGCTTGATACAATAGTTCCCATTATCCGATATGATAGATCTTGATTTGTTGGTGATAGTTATCACCATAACGTCAAGAGAAATTATTATTCTTACTGATATGACACTAAAAAAGGTTATGGTCAAATGTCACCATCAAGAGAGAAACACACATAACAATTAGGATTTGAAATAAAAATACACCTTTCAAAAGGCAAAAAAATTAAAATAATGTAATTAATTAAAATAATTACGTATTTAATGCTGTTTTGTTAAAAATTACATATCTGTTGCAAAAAAATGAAAATAATGTAATTAATTAAAATAATTACGTATTTAATGCTGTTTTGTTAAAAATTACACACAATGACGCCGTCACATGTGACGCCCCAGTGAGGCGTCTATCCCCTAGAGAAGACGCCCCACTGGGGCGTCACATGTGACGCCCAAAGAGGGCGTCTCATGTGCAACCTATATATACCCCACTTTCCTTTTTTCACTCCTTACTCATTTACCTCTCTAACCTCTCTCCAACCTCTCTCTAACTGCGGTTCGTAGCGAAGCTCTGCCAACGTAGGTAAGGTCATAATACCTCATATGTATACATTTAAATTACAGTGCTAGTTAGTAATACATGTTAGGATTGATTGTATATTAGAGACTTGGAACATTAGGATAGTCACTTAGAAATTTTGTGTCATGCTATGAATGTTGTAATGATATAGTAATATTATTATTACGTAGTTATTATTATTACCGATTTTTAATTATGTATTAGGGTTTAGCATATTAATTAGTGATTTATAAATAGTGTTAGAGACTTTGTAAATTTCGTATGTATGATGTTATTAATGCGGGAGTGCATAACTTTGTAGTTAGTTGAGGATAATGGCTGAGTCATCATCTTCTTCGGGATCTGATTCGGATGTAGAGCCCACCGATCCCAGCATGTGGATCATACCTGGACCCTACAGGTGGGAGGTCCTTCGTCAGAGGACGCAGAAAGGTCATATTTCACAGCGAGTGTGGAATACTGAGCATGTAAGAAAGATTAAGACTAGGCGTGGGAAGCCACAAGGGGGCCCACCTACCGGTGCTATTCCACAGGTTGTGGAAGAGTACCTCAGACAGGCGGGTTTCATACATGTTGCCAGGATGCAACATATCCATGTATGTTATTTATGTCGTTTTGTATTTATGTAATTATTTAATAAAATTCGTTAACACGTGATAACTGCGTAATTTATCACAGATAGATACATTTTTAATTAGTGCTCTGGTCGAGAGGTGGAGACCAGAGACACATACCTTTCACATGACCCAAGGTGAGATGACGATCACCTTACAAGATGTGGCAGACATCTTGGGCTTGCCGACCGGCGGTAGTGTCGTCATCGGATCGACCTCTGAGGATTGGCACGCGGCTAGTGCTGCTGTTTTTGGACATGTTTCAGAGGCCGGTGAGTTCCATCATTCCGGCGACCTCCGCATCTCATTCTTGGATCGGCATTATACCCGGTGGACTGATCATGAGGGGAATCATGCTGCCGAGATCTACTTTACAAAAGCCCACATTGCCCGGATGTTGGGGACTTGGTTGCTGGCGGACAAGTCTGGAGGTAGCAATTTTGGTTGCCGGCTTGTCCCGTTGCTAGGTGGAGGATTTGAGGACATTGGTCGTTCAGTTGGGGATCTGTAGTTTTGACACACTTGTTCAGGAATTTGTGCGAAGTGACAGATGCCCGTCGAAGCGACATGGGTGGTTGCCATATTCTCCTTCAAATTTGGGCATGGATACGATTCCCACCCATTGCTCTACCCCTTCCTCCTCATCCAGAGCCGGGCACACATTATGGATGCCGGTATGATTTATTTACTTCATTTGATTTCGATAATGTATAGTTAATAATGTATATACTAACTGTATACTTCTTGACTTTGGACGATTATGTATGGTTGATAATGTTTCTGATTGACAGGTTTAATGTTGTACAAAAGTTTAAACCTCATGAGGTCACCCATTATCGGGCAACATTGGACACACTCTGTAGAGATGAGGTTTGGTGTTAGATACTTACGATGTTGTTATTTGTCTATGGGTTTATTTTTTTTGTAACTCTATATATTTTTTCACATTTTGTTTGTAGGTGGTGTGGCAGCCATATATAAAATATGAGTGGTTTGACGTGACTCCAGAGCAGCAGTATATGTGGCTTGCTCCCACACCTATTATCTACTTCCACACAGTTGAGGCATGTCAACCGGATAGGTGCATGCGACAGTTCGGTCTTAATCAACCCATCCCGGAAAAATCTAGAAAATTGAGAGGAATACATGATCATACTCTACGGGGGAAGGTTGAAGAGAACTGGAGACGTAAGCTCAGGGCTCACATTGATCGATGAAATACCAGGATTCAGCATATTGTACTGCCACCTCCATTATATGGTTTGATGTCACCTAATCATGCGTACATGGAGTGGTACAGAGAGAGGGGAAAGCGCTACATATCTCGGAGGGCAGCAAAGATAGGGCGCATGGTGAGTTTTGTACTTATTTTACATTTGTTTCACATTTCTAACATTTTTTCGTAATATGTAGATTGACGGTCTTGAAATGCTTTATCATGCAACAACGGCGGAGGAGTTTCCTCGATTTGGACTACAGTATATCCACGAGGAGATAGGCCAGATTATTGGGATGTTTCGTGAGAGTTCACGAGTTGATGAGCCTGGACCTGAGGCACCCCCCCCCCCCCGGTGCAGACTCAGCCTGATCCTCAGTTGATCGTGGATGTTCCTCGTAATAGACGGGAGGGACGCGGATTAGGACGTAGACGTGAGAGAGTTGCTGCTGAGCCTGTCCCGATTATGGCACCTAGACCAGTGGTCGAGACTCAGGGATGGTTTAGACCTCCAGCATTTGGTCCTACTTACGGGTCACAGCCGATTTATCATCACGGATCGCAGTATGCGGCAGGTCCTAGTCAGGCGGCGTCTGAGCACCCTTACATGAGCGGGCAGGAGCCAGTTTTCCAAGCTAGTCCGATGGCTATGGCAGGAGCGGATC